TGTGCTGTTCCTATGATAGTGAATAAGTCTCATGAGATCTGATGACTTTAAAAATGGGAGTTTCCCTTCACAAGCTCTCTTCCTTTGCCTGCCGCTATCCATGTAAGACATGACTTGCTCCTCCTTGCCTCCCAGCATGATTGTGAGGCCTCCCCAGCCACATGGAACTGTACGTACATTAAACCTCTTTCTCGTAAATTGCCCAGTCTCAGGTATGTCTTTATCACCAGCGTGAAAACAAACTAATACAGCTCTTATTGGTGAAGGCTGGCCCCGGGGAAGATGCATACATTGCAGGAGATTTATAGGACAGAGGATGTGCCTCTAGTCTGCCACATGGTTTTGCTTGTCTATTTTATATTTGTGAAGGATTGTCAAGATTCTTTAGAGATGCTTTCCCATTTTCTATCACAATGGTCCTGAGTGCTCAACAAGGCTGTTACATAACATGATGAACTTGACAAAGATCAGTTAAATGACTCAACCAAGAACTCAAACCAAGGCTTTTCAACTGGGACCACTGCTTCTTCTACCCCACTGGGTCATGGTAAACACCTGGGACAGCGAGGAGGCTCTGAGGTTTCAGAAAATTTACATCCGTCTTCAAAACCAAAATTACCAGGGACTCCTTCATTTTGATTTGATGAATGAAACATCTTGTGTCCTGAACCCTTTGGAAAATTGAGGAATGAGATGTGGTTCTTCTCAAACTTGAACGTGCATATGAATCACCTGGGGGAGCCTATTAAAATGCAGATGCTGAATCAGGAGGCCTGGGCTGGGATATGAGATCCTGCATTGCTAACAGGCTCCCAGGTGATGCCAGTGCTGCCGCTGGTTCATGGATCACACTTCCAGTAGCATGAGATGGAGCCTCTGACTAATTTCTCTGCGTAGTCAGCATTAAGCTAATTGGCCATTATTGCCCTTTGCAATTCAGTAGTAGGAATTGTGGCTCTGACTTTGCTGTTGTGGGAGAAGTTGCTGACACACAAGCTGGCAATGCTTAAGGAAACGTTTTATTGTGGATCAATAACCATAAAAATATTCAAACCTTTTGGTTAAATAATTCTGCTTATGGATGTGAATTCTAAAGAAATAAGCCAGAAGATGAAAAAAACAAATCTGTGTGAACAATGGTGTTCTACCACATCACTACATATATTAAAAAAGAAATATTTAAAGTCTGTGTCTAATATAAAGGAAATGATTAAGTAAATTGTAATAAAGTCACTCAATGCAACCAAGACAATATTGTAGACATATGTTCATCTTCTCCCTTTCCTCAAATACAACGTGTCACTAAAGGAACAAAAATGGCATGAACTCACAAGGTTAACAAACTATTTATTAATAATTTCAACACATTTGTCCAAGATACAAAGTCTTTGTAATTGGGGAACATAACCACAGGCCCCCATGTCTCTATTTGTAATGTTTTATTTTTTTAATTGGTCAGTGAGTACAAGGGTGATTTCTTACAATTTTTATACCTTTCTGCATGCCTGAAATATTTCAAAATTTAATAAAAAAGAAAGTGCACAGGGACAGAGTGAAGAACATTCTAAATTACATGTTGGGGGCAGAACTAATGTGACAAAGTGAGCCAGTTTTTGCAACAAAGCCTGGCCTTGGCTCTTGAAGGCACCAGGGACCACGGAAGGCAGGAATGAGGTATGGGGCTAACAGCAGAGGAATGGTCAAGTCTGTCCCAGGAAACCTTGTACCCCTAGATCTCCTGCCCCACTAGGAAACAATCCTTCCCACCTACCACGACTGAAGGATATGGGCAGTTTTTTCTTGAGAGAAATTGAGCCACATACACTCAGAACTCAGACACATCAGATATCATAAGAGGCCAGCTGAAAACAAGAGAATTAATGGAAGCTCTACACACTGAACTGTGGGGCCTGTAAGGATGGAAATTGTGATACCTTTCCTCATCTATAATAAGGATTATGGCCAACACTGCTATAACAAAAGAGGTTAACAAGAGAAAAACATAAATGCAGTTATTTCATCAGTTTTATGTGACACCGAAGCCTTTAGAAATGAAGACTCAAAGACACAGGGAAAACTGTCTGTATTTGTACTTAGGTTCCATGAAGAATGGGCAGCCTTATAGAAATGTGATTGGACAAAAGGGTGTGATCTGCTGGTAACAGACTGAGGGGAGGAAACCCAGCAAGGCCTGTCTGTTCAGATTCTTTTTAGTCTCTCTGAGTAGCATTCCTACCTCCCGGGTAGGGCCTCTCTGGAATGAGGGTTTTCAAGGGAGAAGGGAGAGAGTGACCTTTCTAGGTTTTGTGGCTTGCTTTGCGGGAGAGACATTCTAGTTTCTATGACCCACCTTAGGGAAAAAGAATTCTTGTTTCTATGACTTACGTCAGGAGAGAAAAAGGGATGGAAGGCAGGGGCAGGAGAAGGTGAAAGCCTTGGCTTCTGAGGCCCTTCCAATCTCCTTTAGTTCAAAGTACTCAGCATGCCAACATGCTATACTTTAGAGTATCGTGTTCTGAGCCCCAACAGACACTTAGCCCCACCCTGACCCTGCTCTCAGGCCTCCAGGAGCCAGACATATATACCCATAGGCAAGAGACTGACAAACTACAACCCGTGGGCCAAACCATACTCCATTCTGTTTTTGCAAATAAAGTTTTATTAGAACACAATCACATGCATTCATTTGCAAGTTGCCTATGGCTGCTTTTATGCCACAGCAGTAGAGCTGAGTAGTGGCAACAGACACCATCTGACCCACAAAGCCTAAAATATTTACTATCTAGGCTGTACAGAAAAAACTTGCCAATGCCCGCTCTAGAGAAAAATAGATGCCCCAGAGGAAAGACTCCAGATCCCTCATTTGGAGCTCCGATCAAAATACTGGTAAACTTCCCTATGACAATAAAGCCCATCAGTGACAAGCCCCATCCACACGCCCACCGAGCTGCCAAGCAGGTTTCAGTACCTTACTCTTAAGCGCAAATGGATGTGCAAAGATTTTCCAGACACTCAAGCCTCAGCGTGAAAGAGTATAATCAAAATAAACAGACAGAAAAAAGGAACTTGGAAGAACCAAAATAATTCAACAAGTAGAAGAAACTTACAATGAAAGTATGGAGTTCATATTATCTGAGAAATGAGAAGATATTTCATTCATAAAACAAGAACTAGACACTGTGATAACCAAAAGTGAACTCTGGAAATTTAAGAAAGTAATGGTTCAAAATTTTTTTAAAAATCAATAGGAAGTTGAAAGAGAGTTTAACAAAAAGACAAGGAAATGAAAAATGGGAGGGAAGATAGATTAACAAATCAGGATGTCCAATTTTGAACTGGAAAAAAATATAGGACAAGCAGACAAAGGAAACAAAGGGTATAAAATTAGTGATGAATACTATAAATTTCCTGATAAACATTTTCTTATCTATTGCACACTGTGCCCAGCATAGTAAATAACAACAACCAGCAAGGGCCGTCATGAAATTTCAGAGCACTGTAACAATAAAGAGATGATTCTAAGTTGACAGAGAGAAAAGAAACTGAACCAAATAATGAGAATCAAAATGGATCCAGGCTTCTCAATAGTAGCACTACATGCCAGAAAAAACAAAACAAAACAAAAAAAAAAACATGGAGTGATGCCTTCAAAATTCTAAAGGAAAGAGATTTTTCACCTAGTGTTCTATGTCTAGCACTATCAGTCAATTATAGAGATAAGAGCATTTTTATACTTGCAAGGATTTTCATGCATCCTTTATTAGGAAACTACTAAAGGATATGCTTCAACACAAACAGGGAGTAAAAACAAGAGATAGACATGGAATCCAGGAACATAGGATTTTCAACGCAGAAGCAAAGGAAGTCCTAAAATGATCATTTTCCATCAAGTCTATAGAGCAAATGATCCAGTTTTGAGCAAGAAGACTAAAGACTTCAGGAGAGAGGATCTCTGGGAAACAAGAGGACAGAACTGCTCAATTATTTGATGTGTTTAAGATGTAAAAAAAGGATTGCTAGATATTTTACAGGTTTGTTAAAACACTTGCTTGGAAAAAGTAGTATGATATTTAGCTGAATAGCAAACAATTTTTATCTAGTTTAATAATGTTACACTGACCATTGATTTAACAAAAATTGTTATACAAGTCTATTTGGAGGATCATGTAAGAAAAGATGGGAGTTGAGGACTGGTGAATAGAAAGATAAATTCTTGTCTAAAATAAAAACAGGAATAGATATAAAAGCATATAATTTAGAAATATATAGGTAACTTTTAGAAAAAACAGAAGGTGGAAAGTAGATGCCTCTCTGAGAAGGGATGGGAGGAAAAAATAATTGCTTTTGCTTTTTTAGTATATATAATAATTTGGTACTATTTTATTATTCTAACTGTTCACATACATTTTGATAAAAATAAAAGTCTAAAATATAAGATCAATCTATAAGATCAACATATCTATTAGATCGTAATTATAACTAGAAAAACTAAGTTGCTTTTTTTGGAAAAAATGCTTATGTTAACTCCTTGTGGCCTGCTGGTATTTAAAAGTCTTTACCTTCCACTGGGAATGCTGAGCTGGCAGTCTGGGGGAGCTGTAGTGTCTTTTGTGTGTTCCAGATGCCTTGAGAATCAGTCTTTGTGGGAGAGTGGAACACAAGCAGGTTTGACCAGTGTATTAATATCAGTAAGGCTAGCATAACCAGGGAGAGATGCACCAAGGTTCAGGTAAAGAGTCAAGTGGGGAAAAGATATATAAAATGCATGTGTAGATCATGACTGCAACAACACAAAAATGGTATGTTCATAATGAGAAAGAAATAAGGACAAATGGAAACAGTTTGATGTGTCAGAAGTGGGAGCGGAAATACATTTTTTCCTTTAATTTAGAATTATGTGTAGACTGCTATAATGTTTGCATAAAATAGAATAAAGGTTTGTTTTTTTTTTTTTTTTTAAGGAAATCAGTGACATTCTTTGCTCTGCCTCCCTCCTGCAGCTTAATTGCCTACACGGAACAATATATGGAATATGACCCTTTGATAACACCAGCTGAGCCATCCAACCCTTGGATCAGCGATGACGTCGCTTTGTGGGACATAGAGATGAGGTAAAAAATGTTTTAAGGTTTGGGAGTGGGATGAATGTAGACAAAAATCCATGAGATCATGAGATTACCTTATATTCTATCTTTTTTTTTTTTTTTTTTTTTTTTTTTTTTTGAGACGGAGTCTGGCTCTGTCGCCCGGGCTGGAGTGCAGTGGCCGGATCTCAGCTCACTGCAAGCTCCGCCTCCCGGATTTACGCCATTCTCCTGCCTCACCCTCCCGAGTAGCTGGGACTACAGGCGCCCGCCACCTCGCCCGGCCAGTTTTTTGTATTTTTTAGTAGAGACGGGGTTTCACCATGTTAGCCAGCATGGTCTCGATCTCCTGACCTCGTGATCCGCCCGTCTCGGCCTCCCAAAGTGCTGGGATTACAGGCTTGAGCCACCGCGCCCGGCCCTTATATTCTATCTTAATTTGACGGGTTTTTTTTCGCTAGAACAGAAACCCCTCAATTAGCCTCCCAACTGAGTTCTACTTACAGTTTCTACCTCCCTACAACTTTGATTTGTGCATGGATCCCTTGTGGCTTCCCTCTGACTCTTTGGATATCATGATAACTGGGACAGTCCCCCACCATTCCCTAATTCTGATAGCTGGAAGAAAAGAATCTGTTGCTCCAAAGTTTTTTCCTGTTAGATAGCGACCACAATGATAATAGCTGGCATGTATTCCGCACTGGCCACATCCTGCAGTAAGTGTCTCTCACTGAATCCCCTCAACGGGTACACATTACTGTTCTCACCATTGAGCAGGTATGGAAACTGAGGCACAGAGTTAATGAACTTGCCAAAGGTCATAGTGCTAGTAGGGCAGGGTTAGGACTAGAACTCAGGCAGAGGGCTCCAGAACCATGATTTCATCACTCTTTTCTTCTGGAGTAACTGCCAGCAGCGATTCCAGCCAGTTTCTCCTTCCCTATGAGGGAAGCCAGTGTGTTTACTTAAGAGGGGAGGAACCAAAGCCCAGAGGGACTTGGACCACTTTCAGAATTACAGACACACAGACAAAGCTAGTGTGGTGTGCTTTCACACCCCCGTACCACGGCTGGATGAATTTTTATTTCCATTTTCACATCTCTATCACTCTCCGTTGTCTTTCACTTTTGCTCCTTTTCTGGCTTCTTTTCTTGAAATGGAAAAAATCTTATGAAAAGTAATATAAGTCATAGATGCTCATTCTAAAACGTTCCAATTATCCAGATGTGCATAAAGAAGAAAATGCTCTCTTCCTTCAACCTGATTTCACCTTCCAAAAAGAATCTTTGTTTATGGTCTAATGCTGTGGTTCCCAGAGTGGATCAGACCACCCTGGGCACTGTGGGGAACTCACAGAGTTACCACAGGATAGTCCAAATTTTTTTAGGGAAACAGTGATAGTTGACACATGCCAGATACTGCACTACTAGCTTAAGATGGTTCAGTTTCAACATTAGAGCACATTACATCTCTTATGAGGATACACATCTTTGCAAATCTGGTTTTTCGGAGCAGTCACTGTGATAAAAAGCAAGAACTGTGCGAAAATTAACATGGAATAGGAAATAGGGATGGTAAGGTTCAATCTAATTTCAAAATTTAAGAAAATGTGTAGTGCCCAATAGGTGCATATTGTAGTTATTTAAGAACGAAAAAAAAATTTTCAATGTATGTATCTTTCAAACAGCTACTAAGTGTTAGGATACAAATACATATTAAGTTGATTGGTCCTAGCCATAATAAATGACACTGTTAAGTATTTGTTTTGGCCCAGGGGCACTGTGAAAAACTTACTGAGACACTAAGGGTACCATGAGCTCAGCAAGTTTGGCAACATCTGATTTAGCGTCTATTACTTTGGATTTGTATGCATATATAACATTCTATCCTTTTGTATAATTGAGTTCAATATATATACCCAAATATATACATATATGTATATAGTCCAATAATTTTTAAATTAACAATATGTTGTGGCAGTGTTTCCATATAAACACATATAGATCCACCTTACTCTTTTTTTTTTTGAGACAGTCTCTCTCTGTCGCCCAGACTGGAGTGCAGTGGCACAATCTGGGCTCACTGCAAGCTCCACCTCCCAGGTTCTCGACATTCTTCTGCCTCAGCCTGCTGAGTAGCTGGGACTACAGGTGCCCGCCACCACACCTAGCTAATTTTTTGTATTTTTAGTAGAGATGGGGTTTCACCGTGTTAGCCAGGATGGTCTCGATCTCCTGACCTCGAGATCCGCCCGCCTCGACCTCCCAAAGTGCTGGGATTACAGGTGTAAGCCACTGTGCCCGGCCCACCTTACTCTTTTTAATAGCTACATGGTATCCCTGGCACGGGTGAAGTAAAATTTATTTTACCAATCCCTGGATCATAAATATTTAGTTTATGTCCTCCTTTTTTGCCACCATAAACAATGATTCCAGGAACATCTTTCTACACAAGTTCAATTATTTCCTTAGTATAAATTTTCTAGGCATAGAATTCCTAGAAATGGTATTCATATTTTAATTTTAGTTCATATGTCCAGATTCCTCTTGAGCAAAACTGTAACACATCTTTGTCATTCCCTTAGCTAAAAGTGCTCATTTCCCCACATTCTTACCATCCCAAGCATCATCAAACTTTTTATCTTTGCAAGTCCAAAAGGTTAAAATAATTCTCGTTTTACTCTTTTGTTTCTTTGTTAATATACTTGAGAATCTTTTCACATGGTTATTAGACAGATTCTAGCAATATGTTTTGCTTTGGATATTGGGATATAAAACAGTCACATTTACTTGAATCATATATTTTGTCTTCTTCCTGATATATTTCTGAATCTCGTTCTATGTTCTTCTTTTTCTCTTCCCTGACTTTTACTTTATTAATCAAATTTTATATTAACTTTGTAAAAACTCTAGTTTCTATTCCAGTTGTATTTACTTTTAAATGTTTTAATTAAAAACATCATCGATTTAAACAAACAAGAATGAAGCATATAAAATAGTGAAGTTGCCTTTGCCTCCTTTAAATCCCATTCTTCCCAGAGGTATGTTAACTTGATATATTTTAAACCAACATTTTTGAACTTGTATTTCTATGAACATTTAAAAAACAACTAGTATATAGTATGTATCTTCTTTCTAATATTTCTGATGAGCCCTAGGTAGTTCCTTCTGTTCTAAGTCAAGAACTTAACTCTTTCTTTCACTCAGGGTTTTTTTTCTCTTTTTAAAAAATCATTGCTGCTTTTTTTTCCATTCTATCCTCACTTTTCAGGAAATCCTTTTTTAAGAATTCTGGGCCTCTGGGATGGAGTTGCTACATCTCTTATATTTTCTCTGTTATAATTTCCATCTTTAGTCTTTTTATTCTGTATTCAAAGGATGCAATTTCCTGAATTGCTCTTCAGAATCACTGCTTTGATTTTTCAGTGGTGTCCATTCTGTGGTTTTATATTTTAATGAGTTTTTCTTTTCCCACTGAGTGTTGGGAGGGTAGTTGATAATCACGCTTTTCATTTCTACGACTTCTTAATACTTCCTGGACTGTTGTTTTCCTAGTAGCCTGCTCTGTTCTATTGGTGTTTATCATCTTAATCCCCCTGGAGATGTGACATAGATTTTTTTCATAGTTTATATTTTTTCCATATTTTCATATCTCCTCTCTATTTCTGCCACTTAGTTTTATTCGGGGTTGTTTGTTAGAGAATCATCATTTCTGGTCATTGTTTCATTCCTCTGGTCACTGCTCAGAGCAGATCATTCTTTTCATATGCCCAGCTATTTGGAAGACTGCTCATTTTTATAAATGAAGGTATTAACTTTCTTTTTTTTTTTTTTTTTTTTTTGAGACGGAGTCTTGCTCTGTCGCCCGGGCTGGAGTGCAGTGGCCGGATCTCAGCTCACTGCAAGCTCCGCCTCCCGGGTTTACGCCATTCTCCTGCCTCAGCCTCCCGAGTAGCGGGGACTACAGGCGCCCGCCACCTCGCCCGGCTAGTTTTTTGTGTTTTTAGTAGAGATGGGGTTTCACTGTGTTAGCCAGCATGGTCTCGATCTCCTGACCTCGTGATCCGCCCGTCTCGGCCTCCCAAAGTGCTGGGATTACAGGCTTGAGCCACCGCGCCTGGCCTGAAGGTATTAACTTTCAATCCTGCCATACATTAGAACCACATGGAAGTTTCTAAAAAAATACGAATGCCTAGTCCTCACACACGGCCAATTAATTCAGAATTTCTGGCAATTGGGCATTTTTTTTTAATCTCCCCACACTCAGGGAGATTTAAAAAGTCGAATGTGTGGCCGTGGCCTAGGACTCCATCAGTAGCTGGTGAGGGTGCCCTCAGTGATGGTGTGGGCCAACAGTTCTAAGCCATGCTGTGCATCGGAATCACCTGGGCTCCTCTTTAAAAATACGCACATACTGGGGTGGCTCTGGGCATCTGCATCTTAAGCAAGCACCCAGGGCATTCTGAGGCACACCAGAGTTTAAGAAGTCCTGGTTTGGTTCCTGGAGTTGCCCTGGCAGGCTTTCCCCTGAGCAGTTCACACAGGAGCAGGGCTGCAGCTGGACATGTGAATGGATGGGCATAGGTCAATTGCAAAGGTTCCCCTCTGGGTCCTGGGTATGTGGCCCAAGAACAGATTAAAAGATTAAAAACCCTCTCTTCCAGTGAGACGGGCGGCAATGGGAATCTTGGGGAGGTAGACCCCCATCCTCCCTAGTGTGACATCCCTGCAGCCAAGTGTTCTGCTCTGTGGGTCAAGCCCTGATGGAGTTTCTGATGTCTTTCTGTTTCCTCGCCATGGTACTCCCCAACAAGTCTACTCTTCTCCCTCCTCTGCTGGGCCTTAGGTGAATCCACTTGGAGCTGTGAAAGCCAGTAAGAGGTGGGAAGAAAGCTAGCGGGTCTTTAAGGTCTCCCTGGTTCCCAGGATGTTTTTTCTCTGTGTGTGTGCTTTGCTGACAGGAGCACAATCCTCTGACCTTACTGTCCATATGAGAAGCTGGCCGGGAAACATCTCCCTTAACTTAGT